CTAAGGCACATGACTGCTAACCAGAAGGCTGGCAGTTCAAACCTACCAGCCACTCCTCGGAAGGAAGATGGGGCAATCTACTTCCATAGCGATACTGCCTCGGAAACCCAAGGAGGGGTCGCTATGAGTCGGGTTTGACCCGACAGCACATACCAACCAACAAACCAACCGATGTCCCACATGCTACAAAAGCAAAAACATGCCTGTTACTGCCCACCCTTCCAATAACCATACCCCAAATTTGAGGAAAAGGAAAACTCAGGAGTAAGGGAAATTCTTTTCATGGAACCACCAGTGGTGGAATGGGGCTGCTGCATGCCCTCAGCTCCAGGGGCAGCACCCACGTCAGTGGACTGCATGATGGCCCCTGGAGGGTGCAGTGAGTGGGCTCTGGGAGCAGGCACAGTGGCCTACGGAGCCGAGTGCTGGCTGAATTCATCAGCTGGCGAAGAGGAGAACATCCGAAGGTCACCTCCAAGCCCTACACTGGGGAGGTTCTTGTCTGTCTTTTATTTTTCACCATTTATTTACATTCTTACTGTGTTTTTTGGTCAAAGTTTCCACAGCAAATTTGGATCCTATTCAACAGTTTCTATACATATACTGGAGCTCTGATGATGCAGTGCCTAAGGCATTTGACTGTTAACCAGAAGGTTGGTGGTTCAAACTCACCAGCCACTCTGCAGAAGGAAGACAGGGCAATCTACTTCCATAAAGATTTACAGTCTCAGAAACCCAGTAAGGGTTGTTATGAGTTGGAATCAACTCGACAGCAGTGGGTTTGTTTTTTTGTTGGTATACATACACTAAGCATTTTCTTAATACTTGCTTAATTAAGGGATATTCAAAGAAATAAATATAAGTCATATAATACACATACCTTAATATCCAATATTAACAAAATGGAGAAATAAACAGCCAAGTGTATGCTGCATCCAAAGGCTGGGTTGTGATCCTCACCTGCCCTGAGGGACTGTAGAGGTGGGCAGATCAACTCTCCTCTACAGATGTGAGGCCCTTCTCTCAGCACCCATCGATCCCTCTGGGAAGAGCCCACCCTCCCCAGATGCCCACTGAGCCCCCACCAGGGAGAGGCCTTCTCCCTGCACCCTGCAGAGGTCAGTCTGTCTGTACCCTGACTGGACAGCATGATCCTCCCGACGGGGACCAGCGTCCAAGAGCCCAGGCAGAAATAAGCTTACGGTTTAGGGGAGGGACGGGGGCAGTGAGGAATCGCAGGAGGAGCCAGAAATCATTACAGAAAACACACAAAAGTACAAATAACCATAATCTGAAGCCTCTGGTCGTCACTCCAAGTGATTTTAAAATCCCGAAGACAAAAAAGAGCCACACGAAGGGCCTCACAAGATAATCTACTGTGTTACTTCACAGGAATGCTCTTCTTTGTAACCCAGGATACCATCCAGCTTGAGCATTTATCTTCCATTCCAATTTGAGTTAATTTTCAGCTTGTTCTGAAACTTCAAATCTAGCATTAAAAAGAGAATCACTCCTGAAAATATTACAAAGAATGTTGTTGTTGTTGTTATGTGCCGTTGAGTCAGACCTGACCCATAGCGACCCCTCCTTGGGTTTCCAGGGCAGTATCACTACGGAAGTAGATTGCCCCATCTTCCTTCCGGGGAGTGGCTGGTGGGTTTGAACTGCCGGCCTTCTGGTTAGCAGTCAAGTGCAATCAAAAACTGTGGAGGAAAAAATAAGCAAGCAAACAAAAAGCACAAGTTCAGAAGGTAACAGTAGAAGGGTCTCAGGACTGTCTTGAGCTGAGGGGAAGCTTCCCTGTGCAGGGCCATACTTTGACTGGGGGGGAAACATCAACGTGTGAATTCTTTTATTTGCTTAAAAATTCCTATTTGTTCACACACATGCACACAGTGTTTTCTTCTATGTTGGTTTTCAGGGAACACTGGAAATGCCTCCATGTGGAAAGACCTCTGAGAAACCGAGAGCGGGAACATAACCCCCAGCCGTCTGCCACACGTGGTTTCAGGACTGAGAGTTGCCAATGATGTTGTTGTTGTTATGTGCCGTCATGTCAGACTCGACTCATTGTGACCTCTCCTTGGGTTTCCGAGGCAGTATCACTATGGAAGTAGATTGCCCAACCTTCCTTCCGAGGAGTGGCTGGTGGGTTTGAACCACCAGCCTTCTGGTTAGCAGTCAGGTGCCTTAGGCACTATGCTGCCAGAGCTCCGAGTTGCCAATAGCACTGAGGTATTTTTCACAAACTACAGACAGGGAGAAACAGAAAGCAGAATGCATAAAAACAGCAACTACGCAGTGAATACGCTCGACAAGAAGAGAAGGAGGACAAGGACAAAGGGGGAGAGAAGAGGGAAGGTATTTACAGAGGAGAAGGACACAAGAGATACACGAGTGGGAGGAGATAAAGAGGACAGTCCAAAGGACAGGCTGGGAAAGGGAGTAACCAGCACCACCTCAACTCAGCCACAATCTCATGCAGGAGCTCTGCCCGCTCCCCTGACCTCAAGGTCCACGTGGCTCCGTTTGCGTCTTCAGTGTCGAATGGCATGGCCTAAAGGATTCTTTTTCAAGAAACGCCTTACTTACGTCTAAGTGCTCTGTTTCAGGGATTTGGAAAACCTAAGCAGACTTACAGGAGCTCTGGTAGCATAATTCCTAAGGCATTCGACTGCTAACCAGAAGGGTGGCAGTTCAAACCCACCGGCCACTCCTTGGAAGGAAGGTTGGGCTATCTACTTCTGTAGTGATACTGCTCGGAAACCCAGGGAGCGGTCGCTGTGAGTCGGGTCCAACTTGACGGCAGTGCACATAAGTATACTTGCGGGCCTCCGAACAGGTGTCAGAGTCTCTGGGTGGTGCAAACAGTTAACGTGCTTCACTGCTGCTGAGAGTCAGGTTCAAGGCCTCCCAGAGGTCTGGCGATCTCTTTCTGAAACTCAGCCACTGGAAGCCCTATGGGGCACAGCTCTACTGTGGCACACACACAAGGGGTCACGGTGATTTGGAATCGACTGGACGGCCACTGGCCTCACCGAAGTCTGGTGCCGTCTTCATTTACCTTTGCAGTTATCTGAAACTCCTCGTGCTCTTTCAGTAGCTCTTGGGTGTGCTGTATACTCGAGCCTGTGGAGGTGTGCGTGGAAAGGTAGAATTCCCCGTTATCATGGATCCATTCTAACGCCTAGAGGAGAAGGAGGGAGAAGAGTTGTGAGGGAAGTCCCAGCTTCTGAGCATCTCACTTAAACCTGAAATTACAAGCCAAACTGGGTGACATCAAGAATTCTCCCTCAAAGAGACAAGCTCTGAAGATAAGTTGTAAGTCCAAAACAATAATAATAAACAGACATTCTAGAAACTTGTAATCATGTCATTTATGTATGTAACAGTTAACGGTCCAAGAGTTTCTTACAGCTACAAACCTGACAGAACAAGAAAAGAACAGGGACAGAAGCACCAAGTAAGACCCTCTGTAAAGACCACTAAAGGCCCGTGTGCAGGGCGCTAAACCTCGCGCTTGCATGCTGTTACCTCCACAGTCACGGCACTGAGACTTCAGACCTCACCACAAAAAAAGAACCAAACTCATTGCCCTGGAGTCGGATCTAACTCATAGCAACCCCTCCTTGGGTTTCCGAGGCGGTATACTATAGAAGTAGATTATCCAATCTTCCTTCTGAGGAGTGGCTGGTTGGTTTGAACAGTCAGCCTTCTGGTTAGCAGTCAAATGCCTTGGGCACTATACCACCAGACCTCCTAGACACTACCAGAATGTTTTAATTTAAAAAAAAAAGGAAAAAAATGCAGACACATATTCCCACTTTCAAATTTACAAACTGTAGACCTTTTCTTGATATTCCTGTGCCCAGTGGGAGTGCTCAGGTAAACAGCCACTTCCCCAGTGATCACTGGGGCCTCCTGAGGAGGAACATGTCCACCGTACATACAAACACTGCCCTGTGCAGACGCTGCCTAAAGAAACAGTGACTTAACCCTTAAAGCTGCAGCAGGGTACCTACCTCACCAGGAGAGAAGTGGGCCAGCTGCGCTCTGACTACAGTGGAATGATGCAGTCTAGGTGATAGGTTTTCTCATGTTTTCAGACAGAAGCTATTTTTCTCTTGCATTTTTATCTATCTAAAGTGAAATCAGACTTAAGCACACTTGTCTAAAAAGGCAATGCCATGGAAAACAAGCAGCAAAGAGGACAAAGCTTTCTGTCTGTCTTCACAATTTCTAAGTGTCTTTTAGGAATCTCAGTATTTGTGGAGTTTTAGCTGAAAAATGAAAAGGAGACACAAGCCATCTGAACTTGCCGCTACCTGGGCGGAATTTAGTTTACAACACCTGGGCATGGCTAGCCCATCTCTGGAGCCATGTTGCAATGATGTAGAACCGAGAGAGAAAACACCACAGCTGATTTCTTCAGAAATCCTTCTTTGAGCCACACAGCACCTATGACAGAGGCCAGCAGACTGTGTGAGGCACTTAGCTTGGACCCTTCCACCATGACCAAGTGGGCAGATAGAAAGATTAAAACAAACACATGAAAGACAGAGGCAGACACAAATGAGAGAGCAAGGTGCCCTCCGGCAGAAAGGGAGCTCAGCTGAGGTGGGGGCTGAGCTGGGAGCTGCAGGCTGGAGAGTCACAGGAAGGCCAGCAACCGACGGCCCTGGTCTGAGTCCTGCCACCGCTTCAGGAGATGGTGGCACTGGGGCTGCAGGGTCAGTGACGGAGGGAGGGAGGGAGGGAGGGAGGTTGGAGGTCAGGGAGGAGAGGCGGGCGGGCTTTGAGGTCACAGGTGGAGCTTGCAGTGTCTCTGAAAGCTAACATGGCAACTACAGTGTGGAAAAGGGGTTGGAGCAGAGAGCAAGCGGCAGGGGCAACCCTGGCTAGGACGTTGGTACAGAGTGTGCACGAGGTCAGTGGTTATGCTGGTGTGAGGCTCCAGCAAGAAGAGGGTGGGTAGGTCTCTGACTCTAGGCAGGTCAGCACCTCCTGGGCCCACCGAAAGAGCAAAGGTGGGAAGACTTGGGGAGCTGGGAATCAAGGCAGACACACCCCAGCCCTTCCTGAGTGTGGTAGTTCAGTTTGTGTGTCAACTGGGCTAGGCTTGGTTGAGTGGTGGGACAGCTGGATGTAGTATTCCCCATGATGAGACTGGTAATCAACTCCATGGCAGAAATCTACTGTGAGCAGCTGTGTAGCTGCCTTAGGGATGTGGTCTGCTTCCTGTATATAAGCAGAAGCCTTGGGGAATGGTCTCTAGCTTATGGCATATTTGGACCCTGCAAGTAGCCATGTCAGTGTTCGGCAGCCTGCCATGCTCTGCCGACCTTGGGACTTAAAATGGACTTAAGTTAATGGCCTGCCATGTGGTTTGGTAACATTGGGACTGTGCCTTTTTACTTGTCAACCTTGGGGCTTCTCAGCCTCAGCAGCTGTCTGAGTGAGGAAATGCCTCTAGCTCCAGTGGGCTGGGAGCAGGAGGCAGAGCTGGACCCCAAGGTTGAGGGGCTTTCACCTAGCCCCTAGAGCCTGGCACTTTGAACTTGGACTTAAGCCTCCCAACTGTAAGAGAATAAACTCCTGTTTGTTAAGGCCATCCCATCTGTGGTATATTCTTGTCAGAGCGGTAGTAGGGAACCAGAATACTGAGTAAGCAAGATGAGGGGGTGTAGCACACTGGTGGCGGGGCACAGAAACAGGAATCCTGAGTTCAGCCCTGCCTTTGGTGAAGCCAAAGTGGGGAGATGCCAAGGAGGTAAGTGGGACTCAGAACTCTGGAGGCCAGGAATGGAGGTACCGGTGGGGCAATAAGCAGGAAGCGAAGGAACGGTATCAGGCTCTGAACTGAGCCCTGGAGAGAGCCAGTGTTCAGAGTGGAGACAAGAAAGCAGAGGCAGCAAAGAAGCCAAGGAGGAGCAGCCAACAAAGCAGGAGGAAGCTGGAGGAGGCATCCCAGGAAGCCCGGGGGTATGGACACGGTCCCTGGGTGATGCCAATAGGGCATCACCTTTCCACATCCTAACAGTGATGGCAGTGTCCTCTTACTCATCTCAGAGTATAATGAAAACTCTAGACCTAGTGAAGGCCTTCGTGGATCGCTCTAAGTCCCCAGGAGTTACTACAGCATGTGGCCTCTGAATTGCACTCGAATGGAAGAGAGCAGGGCCAACAGGTGTCATCAGTAATGGCACAACTTGATGATTTTACTTCCGGCAGATGAGCCAACTTGAGCCGAAAGCAACAACACTGTACCGTCTTTCTGTCAAGGGAAATATTTACAATTTTCCTTCTGTATTTAAACGATTCCTTGTATTTCAACAGAGATAAGAAAGAAAGAAACATATATGAAAAGGAAATATGAAGCAATCTCCAATTAGTAACAAAATCAGGCCCCTCATAATTCTGAAATTTGTTGAACAATCTTTAACTAAAATGTAGAGAAAATGCAATTGAAGCATTAAGGAGCAATATTACCAGCCGCACCCCACCACTGTTTGGAATATGATTACTACACAAGACGGTGAGCCAAGTAGATGGTTGGGTGGGTGAGTCAAGAGAAACGCAGAGTCAGGGTGGCTGCCTCCTGGGTGGTAAGCACCACACTCTGGGCACCTGAGGACCAGGCCACCAAGGCGGTTCAAGATATTTTTCCAATGTGGGAAACCTATGCAGAGTAAAATGTTTTACTGAATGCCCATATATGTGTCGGGCACATTATTAAATTGCTGACTGAGCAGACAGCCCAGGTCTGAAGGTCATTGTTAAGATATGGGTCACCACTGACCAACAAGACTGAGGAGGCCACACAGGACCTGAGCTCAGTGGCAGGGACGACCCGGACACCACACCTCACGCACCAACCCAGGCTCAGACCACCTCACAGCTGCTCAAAGAAGGGCCTTCTCCTCCATGCCCTCCTGACCACTGAGGTCAGGGTGCACAGTTTAAGGCTGGTCCACTACCATGAAGCCAAAGAGAAATGCTGCACTATTCATGCTCCACACATTGGTCGTTACCCCAGACTCTCTCCTCGGCAACTGAGGACAGAGGCAGGAGCACTTGGACCCAAAACGCCTGAGGGAGGACTCACTGCATCTTCTCCCAGCGTCTCCTCCCTTAGTAACGTCTCCATCTTAATCAGATGTGTAAGCATATTTTTAATATAGTTAATTACTGAAAACTGTAACACAATTTTAGCTCAATCTATCTGAAGAACAAAACTCAGTCCTGACAATATAAACACAGCAGCATAACCACCCACTGTAGTACTTACATAGGCACAGAACCAAATTCCACAACAGTTTTTGAATAATCATATAAAAATTACTTGTATCTTATCTTAAATACGATAAAAGCAGTACGGCACACTCACTGTGTGAGGGTCAGAATCACCAAGTGGAACATCGTGTTAGGCTATGGGGTTTCTTTTGTCAGTACAAAATTAAATATAGGGCTATTTGATCATTAGAAAGTGGTTTTCAAAATGGCTGACATGTCACCAACTGCCAATCTGACGGAGTATAGGGTGCAGGGTGGGGCTGTGGAGGATGGGGTGACCTGTCAGCATAGGGCCATCTGATGGAGGATGGGGTGCAGGGTGGGGGGCTGTGGAGGATGGGGTGACCTGTCAGCATAGGGCCATCTGATGGAGGACTGATTGGGTGCAGGGTGGGGCTGTGGAGGATGGGGTGACCTGTCAGCATGGGCCTATCTGATGGAGGACTGACTGGGTGCAGGGTGGGGGGCTGTGGAGGATGGGGTGACCTGTCAGCATCTGCTCATCTGATGGAGGATGGGGTGCAGGGTGGGGCTGTGGAGGATGGGGTGACCTGTCAGCATGGGCCCATCTGATGGAGGACTGACTGGGGTGCAGGGTGGGGCTGTGGAAGATGGGGTGACCTGTCAGCATGGGCCCATCTGATGGAGGATGGGGTGCAGGGTGGGGTTGTGGAGGATGGGGTGACCTGTCAGCATGGGCCCATCTGATGGAGGACTGACTGGGTGCAGGGTGGGGGGCTGTGGAGGATGGGGTGACCTGTCAGCATAGGGCCATCTGATGGAGGATGGGGTACAGGGTGG